TTCTTGTTCTTAAGCAGTGTTCTGCTTATCCTGGGTCTCTTTCCTTTCCATATGAAGTTTGTTATTGCTTTTTCCATCTTTTTGAATAATTTCGTTGGGATCTGGATTGGTATTGCATTATATGTGTATATTGCTTTGGGCGATGATTAGATTTTTAACCAGGCTTTTTTTGTTTGTTGTTATAAAGTTAATTATAAATAACTAGGAATATGAATGGTGTTTTAGTTGTTGGTCTTAAACACACAAGCATATATAAAAATATAGATACAAATCAAAATATCTGGATGGTGAGAAGAATCTACCAAAGTCTTCAGTCTGGAATGATCAAACATGCAATCAGGATGCATTTGAAAATATTTGTGATCCAAATGTGAAAGTTGGAAACAAAGAGGAAGAGTTGGTAGTTGCAAAATATGTCATCGGTGATAGAAACGATGCTGGAGATTGCCTTTCAGTAACATAAAAGGTAACTATACATGTGGACCTCACCAGATGGAGTACACAGGAATCTACTACATCTGTGGGAAGAGGTGATAGAGAAGCTCAATATCATCAGTCAGAATAAGGCCAGCAGCCAACTGTGAAACATTGTATCAATTTCTCCTGGGCACGTTCATGCTGAAGCTGAAGAAAAGAAAACAAGTCCATACTAGCCAAAATACGACCTTGAGTATATCCTACTTGAATTTAGAAATCTTCTCAAGAACAGATTTGATGCTTTATATGTTAATGATCAGAGACAAGAAGAGTTGTGGGATGACATCAAGAATATCATACATGAATAAACAAAAAGATCATTAAAAAGACAGGAAAGAAAGAAAAGACAAAGTGGATGTCAGAAGAGACTCTGAAACATGCTCTTTTTTTTTTTTTTAAACAATAATAACTGTTTATGCACCAAATGACAGGTCTACAAAATTTATAAAATAAACTCCAACAGAATGGAAGAGTGAAGTAGACAACTCTGTAATGGTTTTAGGAGATTTCAATGCAACACTTTGAATGAAGGAGAGAATAGCTAGAAAGAAAGCCAATAGTTACAGAAAATCTAAACAACACTATTAGCCAAAGCAACCTCACAAACATGTATAAAACACACTGCCTACCAGAAACAAAATACACATTCTTCTTCAACATACATACGACATTCTCTAGAATAGATCAGATTTTAGGCAGCAAAGATTGTCTCAAAAATTTTAGCATATCAAATTTTACAAACATCTTCTTTTTCTATAATAGTCTAAAGCTGAAAATCAATAAGAAGAAGACCCGAGAAAATAAGTTTAAAACATGGAAACTGAATAACAAATTACTTAAAAATTACTGGGTCATTAAAAAAAGTCAAAGTTAAATAAAAAAATACTTAGAATGAAATGATAATTTAAGCACAACATACCAAAATCTTTGAGGCACAGCAAAAACAGTGCTCAAAGGGAAATTCACAGTAATACATGTATACATTTGGAAGTGTGGTGACTCTGTAATATAAGCACTGGACTACTAATCACAAGTTTGGAGATTTGAGCCTACCAGGTTCCCCAAAGGGGAAAGATGAGACTTTCTGCTCCTGCAAAGATTTACATCTTCTGAAATTCTATGTTGTTGTTGTTAGGTGCCATTGAGTTGATAGCAAGTTATAGCAACCCTATCTATCACAACAGAACGAAACACTGCCAGGTCCTGCACCAACCTCACAATTGTTCGTATGTCTGAGCCCATTGCTGCTGCCACTGTGCCAATCTGCCTATTTGGGGGTCTTCCTCTTTTTCTCCGACCCTCTACTTTACCAGACATGATATCCTTCTCTAGGGATTGGTTTCTCCTGATAACATGTCTAAGGAGCTTTCTGGCTGTACTTCTTCCAACACAGATAGGTTTGTTCTTTTGGCAGCCCATGGCAGTTTCAGTATTCTCCTCAAACACCATAACTCAAATGCATCAAGTCTTCTACGATCTTCCTTATTCACTGTCCAGCTTCCACATGCATGTGAGGTTATTGAAAATACCATGGCTTGGGTCAAGCACACCTTAGTCATCAAACTGATATCTTTGCTTTTCAACACTTTAAGGAAGTATAGTGCATCAGATTTGCTTCATGCAATACCTCTTTTTATTTTTAAGCTTTCATTGTGAATTATGTGTTAGTTTACATGGGTGAACATTATATTTGCATTCATCCTATCGTATTTTGTTTCTGAAACATGTTCTTGAATGGAATGTAGTTAAAGAAATAATGAAATAGAAGAGCTAAAAAGCAGCTCCGGAAAACAAAGGAAATAGTATAATGAAATATGCAAAGAAGCCATAAGGAAAGCACATGCGCAGAGTTTCTCAAGGTGAAAGAACTGAGCTAAAAATGCAAGTCTTGGGTTGCCGTATTGAAGGATTCTGTGGACAAATATTAAATGATACAAGAAGTATCAAAAGAAGATGGAAGGAATACATACAGTTGCTATATTAAAAAGATGTTCAACCATTTCATGAAGTAGCATATGATAAAAAACCAATGTTATTGGAGAAATTGGATAAAACCTAAAGATATTTGAAAAAACTATTGGCTTTAGTTATTAATGATGCATTGATATTGGTTTGTTAATTGTAACAAATGTATCATTGTAATATACGACATTAATGACAGTGCTTAGCATAGGACATTTTGTACAGTAGTATGTCCTTAGTAGACGGCTGCTGTATGAATTTTTGCCTGATTTAAATGAAGAATTCATGACATGTCAGTATCTTCAAGTCACCTGGTTAGTTTTTTTATGAAGGAGCAATCCCTAAATGCAAAGCAATGCTTTGGTTTAAGAGCATTGTGTTTGTGCTGGTAGCAGAGATTCATAGGCTGATTTTAGATATAAATATTTTTAAGTCTTTAAAAATACTCAAAAGACACTTTCAACAGTAATTCTTCCTCAAATCTGTGCCCCATTCATTCTGTTCACCTGGAAGCAGCCAATGTGACCAGTTTCTTGTACCCTACTCTATCCCAAGTGTATAGTCTTGCCCCTTCTGTGTTAGCATTCTCTAGATAGCTGCTGTTTTCTCTAACCTTTCCCCTCAAAACCAAACCCCATTGCCATTAAGTTAATTAGAATTCATGGTGACCCCATCTCTATCAGAGTAGAGCTGCTTCAGTGGGTTTTCTTGGTAGGAATCCTTACAGAAGGAGCACAGTGGACTCCGAGGAAAATAGACGAGGCTTTCTGCTCCCATGAAGATTTTCAACCTCAGAAACCCTACGCAGGGTGGCTATGAGTTGGAACCGACTTGATAACACTTAACAATCTATGCAGAAGTACATTTTCAGGCCTTCGTCCTGTAGCTGCACCAGGTGGCTTCAAACTGCCAACCTTTAGGTGTCTTGTAAGTAGTCAAGCACAAACTATTTACACAACTTTGGGACCTATGTTGTTTTTCAACAGTGTCTTAGTTTTTGTTTTTGGGAGGTGGTGGTGGTTATATGCCGTGGAGTTGGTTCCAACTCACAGCCACCCTGCATAGGGTTTCCAGGACTATAAATCCTTATGGGAGCAGAAAGCTTCATCTTTCTCCTGCGGACGTGCTGACCTTGAGGTGAGCAGCCCGACTCGTAACCACTGCGCTATCAGAACTCCTTAAGTGCCATCAAGTTGGTGCCGACTCATAGTCAGCCTGTATAGGGTTTCCGAGGAGCACTTGGTAGGTTTGAATTGCTGACCTTGTGGTTTGCAATCCAGTGCTGATTCTACAGTGTCATAACACGAGTCATGTCTCATCGTAATGGATTTTTATTAAAAGTGCATAACAAATTGTCATATTATTATTAAATACTTTATTATATTCCGTTGTTGTTGTTGTGTGCTGCCAAGGTGGTTGGGACTCTGTGTCCCTGTCTAGGGTACTCTGAGACTGCACACCTTTGTGGGAGCAGAAAGCTCCCAGAGAGCTTTCTGGTGGATTCAAATTGCTTACCCTGTGGTTAACAGCTCAACACATAAGTCACTCTGCCACCAGGGCTCCTGTATTCCATTAAGTATCATAAATTATTTAACCAGAACCTAATTGATGGACATTAAGGTTGATCCCTATCATCTCTGAGTTAAAAAAAGAAATGTGGTAGTGAATATTCTTGTACATACCTCACTGATCACCTGAGGAAACCAAAAATAGAATTACTAGGTCAGAGGGTTTGTACATTTTCCATTGGAATAGATTTTGGACATTGCTTTTCATAGAGGTTAAGCTAATTTACACTCCTAGCAGCAATGTATTAAAATGCTATTGTCCTTATAGCTTTGTCAAAACAATGTGTTATAATAATGCAGAAGATTCCGCAGCAAACCTGAGTAAAACTAACATTATTGTTAAAAGCTGTTGAGTTGGTTTCGACCTATAGTGACCCTATATAAGGTTGCCAAGGAGCAACTGGTGAGCTTGAGCCACTGACCTTGCAGTTCAAATTGACTTTGCAGTCCAGTGCATTCATCCACAGCACCATATCAGGACTCCAAAACCAACATACCTCCTAGCAAATGTCTCTTTGAAGGTATCATTCCGAAGAACCACGCAGAGTTATTTTCTGATATGGATTGTACCCAAGAAGAAAATGATATATTTTGTGAATTCTTACTACAGGCTAGACTTTTGAAAGAGTTCTCTGTATACTCTAATTATTTTATTCCTCAGAAGATTCTCACCGACTTACTGAAAATACCATTAGTGCTTACTTTTCAGTGGAGGAAACGAACTCAGACAGCTTAAGTGGCTTGTCTCAAACTTTTTGATACTTGTCATTTCGATAACTGAAGGAAATGTGGTTTTATTTGCATTTTTCTCATGTTTAAGAACCATTTGCATTTTACAGTTTTAATTGGTGTAGCCACCCCCATCTTCAGCACTGATTGCTTTGCTGAGTATTAAGTATACAATCTGGTATAATTACCTTCATTCTGTATCCTCTAGAATGAGCCAGAATGGAAAGAAGAAGCCATTTATTGTGCCTTTATTGTACCATTTTAAATATATCTTAGAATATCTTCATGGATTTTCCCTTTGTTGTTTAGATCAACACACAGTGAGAAACATCTTAAGAATACTATGCCACCTGAAGTAGCTCATTTTGGTCATTTTACTCCTGAAGCAATGGTTAAGGACACTGCTGGAGTCAACCAAAGGTTAGGGCTTTATTGAAGAGTTATGTTCCAGACCTAGCAAATCTCAGGAAGATATAAAGGATATTTTAGTTCGACCATCAACAGATTAAAAACTGGAGAAGAGAGAGCAGCATCCCTTAGAGTTTGTTCATAAGATTGGGAACAGTATGGAAGGATTTCATCCAGGTCAAGCTATAAATAGTGGACAAAATTTAATGTGTCCCCCAATGTTTTCTAGTGCCCAGGCTTCTTGTTTGTTCAAAAGTTCCTACAATAGACCAGTTATGTCTAATACTTTGAAGCTACCGCTAATAGCCCATTTGATTGAGTTTACAAATGTGACCCAAACAAAGTTGACAGATAATCCTGAAAAACTAGGCAGGAGCTCTAGTAATACTATACTATCTCATCTGGAAACTTCTTCCGTTTCATTTCAGAAGCTTAAAGGATTAAATAGTAAATCTTTATGCATAAATTCAGGTAAATTGATTTTAGAGAAAGGTGTAAAATCTCAGTGCAAAACTTTGTCTACTGGTTCTAAACTTCATGAACTTGTGGGTACTTGAGGACTCCTTAAGATTGGAATCATTTCCCACATTAGCAGTAAACTCAGCAGCAAACCTAAATAAAGTAACATACCTCCTAACAAAGGGCTCTTTGAAGGTGCCATTCCAAAGAACCACGAGGAATTCTTTTCTGGTATATATTGTACTAAAGAAGAAAAGCATATATATATATATATTTTTTTTTTTTAACAAGTAAAACTTTTTGGAACAGAATAGCTCAGTGTATTCTGAAATGAAATTTAATTGTGACTCTCTTCAGTCAACGTTTGGCTAACCCCAAGAGGCTGTACGAGACTTAAACCCTTGGGAAAAGGAGTGAGTTGATCCAAAAGACAATTGTAAATTCAGAGGTTCTGCAATGAGTTGTGATCGCAGTTCCTCTTTTCTTTCACTGACTGACCAATCTGAAGTAACTGCCAAAGAAATGAATCTTCCTGTGTGGTGCTGCGGATTAATGCGCTAGACTGCAAAGTCGATTTGAGCTGCAAGAGCAGAGGTTCAAGCTCAGCAGCCAGCTCCTTGGAAACACTATACAGGGTCACTATGAACCAGAACTGACTTGATGGCAGTTAACAACAACAACAATGAAAGCATGTGCTGATCTACAGTATAAGAAATCTTGTGTTTCTTATATAAGTTCTGATAGTGATAGTTCCCTCCAGTTGGTTACCAACTAATCTCAAGTGACTGTTAAAGAAATGTGTCTTTCAGAAGGCTATGCATATTGGTCTGATTGACCAAAGCTATGAGTCCAGTAGTTCTGACGTTGATTTTGATGGTAATACTTCACTTTGGTCAATTATTGACCATCCCCAACAGTCTGTAAAAGAAGTAAAGCTTTCCAAGGAGGTGCTCATTGGTTTAACTGCTAAGAACTATGGATCTAGTAATTCTGAAACAAGTGCTGACTCTGCTTTTCCACTTCAAACAGTGATTGACCAGATCCCAACTTTTTTGTCAAAGAAAAAATTTGGAAGAAGGTTCACATTGACTGGGTTGATAAAAACTATGAAGCAAGTTGTTCTGAAATAAGTTTTGATGGTGAATTTTCACTTCAGTCAGTAGCTAACCAACCCTCACTAACTGTCAAGGGAAGAAACTTAAAGGCTAGGCATGCTGACCTAGATGACAAGACCAGTAAGCCCAGTAGTACTAAAGCATATCTTGTTTGTGACGTTTCTTTTCAGACAGTTACTGATGAACCTTGGAAGGCTGTTGAAGAGATACACCTTCCGAGTAAGAAGAATGCTAAGGTTGTGGATAAGAATCATGAATTTTATGGTCCTGAAGTGATTTTTCATGGTGGCATTCAATTAATGGCTGACCAATCTCAAGTAGGAGTCCTGGTGTAGCACTGTAGGATAAGCACTCAACCTCAAGGTTGGTTTGAATGACAAGGTTGATGGTTCAAACTTATCAGCTGCTTCTCGGAAACGCTATACAAGGTCGCCATGAGTCAGAACTGACTCATCTACAACAAAAACAACAATCTCAAGTAGCAGTTAAAGTCGCTAACCCTCAGGAGTTAGATCATGACTTGGAAAACAAGAGCAATGAACCTAGCATTTCTGATAGAAGTTTTGATTCTCATATTTGTCTTTGTCAATCAGCTAATAATCAAGTGGCTCTGGATGAAATAAATCTGAAAGAGCTAAGTGTTGATCTGGAAGTTAAAAGCTCCAGTCCTGAGTTGATCTTTGATCCGGATCCCCTCTGTCTATTACTGAGCAATCTCAACTAGATTTTGAAGAAATAAAAGATCATTTTAATATGCAAGATAATAGTTGTGAATCAAATAGTTCTGAAATAACTCTTGAGGCTGACATTTCTCTTCAGACAGTAGTTGACCAACCTGAAAAACTGTTTAAGAGGAGGAATGTGTTGATCTGGAAGATAAAAGTAGCGAATCTTGTTTTTTCTGAAATAACTTTTGATTCTGATGTACCCTCTATTCAGATACTGAACAATCTGAAGTAGCTGTTAAAGGAATAACCATTCAGGAAGAAGAACCTGTAAACTTTGGGTAGAAGAGTAAATAAATCCACTGTTCTGAAATAAGTTTGGATTCTGATATCCCTCACTATTTAGTGACTAATCCTACTGATGCAGCTATTAGAAAGCTAGATCTTGGAAACGAAAAGCAGATGTAATTAGAAAAGAAGGAAAATGAATCCAGTGGTTTGGAATTAAGTTTTAATTATGATATCACTTTTCACTCACGTAACGCTTGTTCTGAAGTTTCTATTAATGAAATAAACCTTCAGAAAGAAAAACAAGCACATTTTGAAAATAAGGGTAATATACCTACTGTTTCTGAAATCAGTTTGGAATCTGATTTCATTGATCATTTCAATTTCAAAATTTCAATTATTCAAAATTTCAATGGATTGTTTTGACATAGATGATGAAGAAATAAATCTTCAGAAAGAAGTGTATATACACTTACAAAGTAAGGGTAATGGATCTAGTGTTTCTGAAGTCAGTTTGACATGTGATATTCCTTTTTATTCAATAACTAATCCTCCTGACATAACTGTTAAAGAAACAAACAATCAGTGAGAACCTGCTGACTTAGAAAACAAAGTTGATGAACTTAGTATTTCTAAAGCAAGGTTGGATTCTGATATTCCTCTTCAGTCATTAACTCACCAATCAGAAGTAGTGGTTGGAGAAATATATCTTCAAAACAAAAAGCCTACTGAACTAGGAGGTAAAAGTGCTGAACCTAGTGGTTCTGAAGTAATTTTGGATTCATATATCCCTTATTTGGTGACTGAACCTCAAATATCTATTTAAAAAATAAACATTCAGAAAGAAGAGCATGTTGTCCTAGAATATAAGAGTGATGAATTTAGTGGTTTTGAAATTATTTTGGATTTTGATGTCTCCAGTGACTAACTAAAAAAATTCTAGAGGATTGTGTTGACCCAGAAAATGAAAGTACTGAACCTAGAGGTTTTGAAATAAGTTTAGATACTGACGCTCCTCTTCATTCCATCACTGACCAACCTTAGCTAGCTTTTTTGAAGGAAAAGGGTGTTGATCTGGAAGATAAGAACAATGAATCCAGTGATTCTCAGATAAGTTTTGATTCTGATGACCCTCTTCAGTTATTGGCTGAACAAATTCAGGAAGTTGTTAAAACAATAAACTCAAAGAAGAAAATGGAGATTAACATAGAAAATAAGATGGATGAACATATGGTTCTAAATTAATACATGATTCTGATGTTTCTCTTCAGGCTAAGACTGATCAATCTGAAGTACCTGGAAGATAAGAACAGCTGATAGAGTGATTCTGAAATGAGTTTGGATTCTGATTTCTTGCTTCAGTTTACAATTGATCAACCTCAAATAACTATTTTGGAACTAGAGCATATTGAACTAGAAGATAAATAAAATCGATCATGTGTTTCTGAAATAAGTTTTGATTGTGATAACCCTCATCAGCCAGTGGCTGACCAGCTTCAGAAAGCTGTTAAGGAAATGAGTCTTTGGGAGGATGCAGAAGGTAGCATGGAAGATAAGAGGGATAAATCTGTGGGTTATGAAATCATGCATGATTCTGATGTTCTTCAGTCAGTGGCTGGTCAAACTGAAGAAGTACTTAAGGAGATCAACCTTTGGAAGGAGCGTGTTGATTCGGAAGATGAGATTGTCAAACCTATTGGTTCTAAAATAACTTGTGATTCTTATGAACCCTGTCAGTCTGTGGCTGATGAAATTGAAGACTATTAAAGAAATAAAACTTCTGAGAAGGGAAATATTTGCCTGAATAATAAGGTCTTGAACTCAATGGCTCTGAGCTATTTATTATTCAGATGCATATAAATCAGTGGTTGAACAACCTCACATTTTGGAAAAGGAGCAAGCAAAGTTGGAAGATAAAAGCAATAATCCTTGTGGTCTTAAAATAAGTTTTGATTCGGAAGACCCCTGCAGTCAGTGGATAACCAACTTCTAAGATCTGTTAAGGAAATAAGTCTTTGGAAGGCAGACCACATTTATCTGGAAGATGAGAACCCAAACTAAGTGATTTTGAAGTACCTTACAACTCTGATGTCCCTGTTCAGTTCGTGACTGATCCTGTAGCTGTCAAAGAAATAAACTTCCAAAAGAAGGACCATAATAACTTAGAAATTAAGAACTGTAAATCTAGAGATTTGGGCATTCATATTCAGAAAGATGTTGATCAACCTCAAGTGGTTTACAAAGAAACAAATCTTCAAAAGTAAAGCATCTTGATATGGAAGAAAAGAACAATGAACCTAGTGATTACAATTTGTTAATTCTGATGTCTTTCTTTAAATAGTAGCTAACCAATCTCAAGTGTCAGACAAAGAAACAAATCTTTATAAGATGGTGTTTTTGGACCTTGTCACCAAAAATAAAGATGGTGGTGGTGTGTGCCATGGAGTCCGTTTTGACTCATAACGACTGTGTATAAGATATCAGAGGCTGTAAGTCTTTAGGGGAACAGAAAGACTCATCTTTCTCCCTTGTAATGACTGGTAGTTTCGAACTGCTGACTTTGAAGTTAATAACCCGACTTGTAACCACTATGCTTCCAAATCTCTTTGAAAATAGTGATGTTGTTGTTGTTAAGTGCCATTAAGTTGATTCTGACCCATACCGACCTTGCAGTCTGATGTATTAGCCCACAGCACAACATAGTGATAGTGATTGTATAATAGTTTCTGATTCTTAGAACCTTTTCATGGAGTCCTGGTGTAGTGCTGTGGGATAAAGCATTAAATTGCAAGGTCAGTTTGAATCACAAGGTCGATGGTTCAAACTCACCAGCCACTCCTTGGAAACCATATCCAGGGTCACTATGAGTGGGATCTAACTAGACATCACTTAATAACAAGAGCATAACCCTTTCTAGTCAGTGACTGACTTCCTTATATGACTGTCAAAGAGAAGAACTGTATAAATGCAGACTGTATTGATCTAGAAGATGAGTTATATTCTTGTGGTTCTGAAATAATGTATATTTGTGAAGGCCCTCCTCAGTGAATGACTAATCATTCCAAAGAGATTTTCAAATTTGTAAACCAGAAGGGAGACTATATTGTTCTGGAATTTGAGTTGTAATTGTTGTGGTTCTGAAATAGACTTAAGTGTTAATATCTCACATCAGTCCAGGACTTACCAATTTCAAAGGTCTGATAAAAAATTGGATAAACAGATTGATTTGGAAGATAAGAGCTGCGAATCTAAGGTCCTAAAAGAAATTTCAATTAGGAAAACTCTTTTCAATTAGCGATTGACTGAAAACTACAAAAAGCTTCCAGAAGGGTCAACCTTCAAAAGAACCTGGAAGAGTCTAACTTAAAAAAATGTATATATGAGTTGTGAGTCTAGTGCTTCCCCAATGGATTGTGATGCTGCCCCTGCATCAGGATCCATGAGATGACTGGTAAAGGAAACCCTTTGAAATGAAAAAGTCTGAGCTGTGAATGTTGTGGTACTGAGGTGAATTCAGTGTAATTTCTCTTTTCTAGGTGTTGGTGGCCAGCCTAAAGAAGCTGTAAATACAATAGACTTGTTTAAGAAGGTAGCCTTTGCCCTGAAAGATAACTATGATTCCCAGTCCTGCTCTGTTTCCATGGTTGATCCACTAAGAAACCTGGAAAATCAAAAGGGATCATAGAAGATAATCCTCATGAACCACTTCTTGAAACCTTGCCTCGTGTCCCTCCCTCCTTTGTAGGGAAAACATAGTCTCAAATAATGAGAAGATGATGTAAAAATAAATGCTCTTGTGAAAGCATTCAGGGACGATTGTTTTTACGGTTACTTTGATGATAACTATGAGACCAGGAAAATTTTTAAAAATTTGAATGAAGGAAAAAGATTGCTACGACTGACCTTAACTAGGAAACCACATTAACTCAAGTGCTGTCAGATTGTGATGATGTGGCAGGTGATGTTTTGGATATTGATAACTTTTCTATAAGGAGCTCTGGTAGCGTAGTGGTTATGAGTCGGGCTGCTAACCTCAAGGTTGGCAGTTTGAAACTACCAGCCGTTCCGCAGGAGAAAGATGAGGCTTTCTGCTCCTGTAAAGATTTACAGCCTTGG